TCTTCCGGGCGGCGGATTTGATGGGCCTCCGGGCAGCGGATCAACAGGGCTTTCCTGGGACATGGTGTTGGAGGCTGCAAGGGACGGACCTGGGCTTGTTCTTGTCGACTGTGAACCAGAGAGCCCTGGTGGATCAGCTCTACAGGAAGGCTCAGAAGAGATGGACACCTGGATCCTCTACCCGAAGAATGGAGCAGGGGTGTATGAGCCTGAGGCTGGTGCCGGGGGGTGGGAAGAGGAGAATGAGCAGGAAATGGTCGTCGGCGAGAGACAAGGAGAGGCGGAGGGGGGCGGACAGAGCGACGAAGAGGGGGGGGAAGAAGAAGAAGAGGAGGACGAGGACGAGGGAGACGATATGGACAGCGACGGAGGGGGGGATGATGATGATGGCAAACCTCCCCCCAGGGGGGGCGGAAACGGCGCAGCGGATTGTCGCGGTCGGGACGGCGGATCCAGTGACGGAGACAGAGACGGCGGCAGCGGTGGCGGCTCCAGACCTTCCGACAGCGGCGACACGGGATCGTGGTACTTGCCCGAGTGGGACGCCGGTTGCGGTCTTCGCGGTGGCCCTGACGTCCCGGTTCGGGTTGCTGACGTCAGCGGCGCTCGCAACCCCCAGCGCGTGGCTGCAGGCGGCCAAGAGATGCAGCTGGCTGCGATTGCTGACGTCAGCGAGTGTCTGGCAGGGAGTCGGCCTCACAGCGAGGCACTGGCGGTTCAGGTAAGGTCATTGGCACCGCGCGCAATTGCTGAGAAATTGTGTGCCTCGAAATGGGGAACCAAGCTCTCCTGTATGCCGTTTCGTGGCAGGAGACCTCTGCTATAAGGCTTAGTTGGATAACGTGATTTCACACAGAGATATGGGGCTGAAGTGTTTAGTCATAGGCAGTGTTCAGTCATACTCAACTTCTGAGGTCCCAGGTGTCTTCTGCCGGGAAACGCTAGGCATCAAGGACTTAACAAGCTTCGTTCTGCAATGCAGCCCCATCTGCTTCGTCGAACGTTCCGGTTGAGTACGGGCTTTCGATCGTCCTGCGCCTGCTTGGATGGTCACGGTTACAATTTCCGTCACCTCCAGTCACTGCCTTCTCTTGCCTGTCTCTTTTAGGTCCCGGAAATAATGTCTTCAAAGTGTTTCAAATCCTAATTACAAAATGACTCAACGCACTACTTTTGTACAGGCCCCTCCTCCACCAACTCCCCTCGTGCCTGGCACTAACAACGGGTCCAGCAAACCAGGGACCGGAACAAGTCTGTTGGGTTGGTTCAGGAGAGCCTTCAAGAAGGGCACCAAAAACGCGAAGTCTGAGAACAGCGCAACCACGCCCCCGGAGCTCTCCGGGGTTGAACCAGGTGGAGGGACAATTGGCCGTCCGAAAGAGGGGCCCGAGGCTGACACCCCCAAGGCTGTCGACATCGCGCAGATGGGCATCGCAAACCTCGACCTGAACTCCACGGTGGAGTATTCGGAACTTCCCATTTGCTCAGACCCGTTCTCCAAGAGCGGCCGCTCAAAAACAAAGTTTCAGAGTTTAATCAAACTGTCAGCTGGGTACTTCGTGTACACTTGACTCAACTTCAACGAGTAAACGTCTTGAAGGCTCCATGGATTGTGCACATTACTGCAAGGAAGCTTGGATCTGCGGACTTCAGCACCTATTCTTCAAAGCAGGCAACCGGAATTTTGCTATCAAGCTATCTACGTTGACGAAACATGTTTCTCAGCCCTTCTCATCACCCTTACCCTGGGTCCATTGCCAGCCTTTCTTTCCATAGCGCGATTTGACTAACAGAAACCATATTTCGTGGAACTTGCATTATGCAGGTATTGCGGAGCGTCCGTATCTTCACATACCAAGATCTAGAGGTGGCGACGGACAACTTTGGCTCGGCAAAGCTGCTCGGAGGACTGCTCGGGAAGGTCTATCGTGGCCAGCTGGACGGCGCGCCAGTGTCCCTCAAACTCCTAGACCTGGAAGGTCTGCAGGTAGGGGCAGAATGTGCTCCCTCCCGAACAGCCGTGAAAATGCTTTGGTTGGCCCGACGCTTTCTTGTACATTGTGCCAGGGCCGTCATGGAAGTTCCTCGACGCATCCGGTTCGGGAATGGAAACGGCGGACAGCACGAAAACGAGCAGCCAGAGTTTGCAGAATTTGCGTAGGAATGGAGCTTTTTGCTGATTCAGAATGGTCTCGTCTAACCCTTCCATTAGTTCACATGCCCTATGTCGAGCTCCCTCAGGATTCTCTTCCCTACCCTGCGTTCAGTACATTCGCTGACTCCTCTCTTCGCGCTCTGGCCTTTCCGGCAGTGTCCCTGCAAAGCGGCGGCGGCGTTTCTGCGTCATAATCCTTAATCGCGTTTACTTTACCCCCAGCCTCGCTGCAGCCCCAACGCGAGGTGCAAAATCGAAGTTAACTCCTCTCACCTAGATCGGCTCGAGGGTTTCGTTTCAACCCGTTTGCTCGGCTCGCAGGATCCTGGCGAAATTCGGCGCAAGGTGGAGATTCTGAGCCGCCTGCGTCACCCGCACGTCGCGACGCTCCTTGGCTACTCCCCCGAGCGCGGCGGCTGCCTTGTTTACGAGTACTGCGCCAACGGCTCCCTCGAGGACTGCCTGGCCGGAAAGGGCGACTCTGCGCCGTTGCCCTGGTTTGAGCGGATTAGAATCGCGGTGGAGGTAGGTTGTGTTGTGCACTCTGCACAGTGGTTTTGCTGCTTACCAGCTTTGAGGCTGGTGATTTGACAAATAAGCTGGCTTTAACTTCGATACAATGCTGGTCAACGCCCGAGTCTGGTTGTGTGATGCAACACCAGCGACCAACCAGCCCGTAACCGACCAGTGGTTTATTATCAGGGAAAACCCCTGTGCTGGAAGTCAGGATAACTTCAGATTATGCTTTAAGATCCGCTTTCGATTCAACCACATCTTTCCAGCACCTTTTTCTTCGATTGCCAATCCATGTTTCTTGAAAGTGCTCTGACGAATTCGATTGTATACGCGCGCATCGGTTGCATCGACCAGCTTTTGGTCAGAGGCAGTCTGTTGCCCGACACGGCTACGCTTCTGATGCTTCTAGAGCTCAAAAGTATGCAGGTCCCTTCTAAACTTTCGATATCTGTTGAGCTGCGGTTCGACTGGGGGATTTGAGTTCGTGTTAGACCGGTAGGAGTCTCCTGGCCTTGAATGAGACAAAAGAATTGTCGCATTTGACATTCCGCCTTCTAGGGATTTCGTGTAGTCGATCAACCTGCGCCCAAACTTGGCGACGCTAGATCTACTTGCAAGATTCCGCCGCGCCTGAACCATAGCTTGTTGGAATGCCACAGCTCTTAAAGGTTCAACTTCTGCATCCTAAACTTTCAGATAGAAACGTAAAAAAAGGAAAGTTGAAGTATATTCCGACCCTCCATTAGAACTGAAAATGCTTTTGCTGCTGCAGATTGCGGAGGCGCTGCAGTACATTCACACCTCCCGCCCCCACATCATCCATGAGAATCTGACGCCGTCCAACATCCTGCTGGACGAGAACGTCACCGCCAAGCTGGCTGACGTCGGGGTCGCGAGTGCGCCACCCGAGCTCGCCACCGCGGCGATGGCAAAGACGGCCCGGAGCAGCAGCGAAGGGCCCCAACGGACTCCCGAGAGCGACTCCGGCCGTCAGATCTCCACAGACCCAGGTAACGAGATCGCAACACGTTCTCCTTTTTGTACTGTTGTGGGGTCACGTTTTGGCCTCATCGAGTGACCGGTGGGCTGTTTTGCAGCGTCCAGCTGCCGACTTTCTTTCAAGGTTCGGGCTAGGAGAAATATTCTCGTATGGTATCCGGGCCTTTCAGCCGGTTCGAGGGATGGAAGCCTGCTGATCGATGGACAGAGTTGTGGGTTTGGAGCCAGCAGCATCGCAGGATTGTTGAGCTTGTTACTTCAGACAGTGCGGGTTCGACATGAAACATTTGACAGATACGACTGGAAAAGGACAAATTGTGCCCAAGGACAGTTATTTGTAACAAAGCGACCCTTTCCGCTCCTTGGTGCTCCTCTCACAGGGCATTCGTGGCGAGATTGACGTACTTTCTGCGCTGCTTTTTCACCAAAGGCTTTGAGCTGATCTCTGCCAAGCCCTAGGCCTTCTGATTGCAGAACTAGCTTTGCTTGCGTCTGCAAGTTCGCAAACTCGCAGACCTAATCGGCCGACGCCTTTCCTCCGTGCAGAGGGCCAACGGAACGGGGACTCTGCGGACCCCCAATCCACGGAAAGTGACGTGTACGCTTTCGGCATCTGCGTCCTCCAGCTTCTGACCAATCGCGCGCCCCACGACGTCGTGGGTGCCATGAAGGACGCTCTCGATGAGGGGGGTTTCATGGCGCTCCTCGATCGGACGGCTGGGAGGTGGCCAGAGTACGTGGCGCATAAGGTCAGCCATTCAATTGTCTTGTACCTTCGCTTTTGCTTATAATTCGTGGAGAAGAGTCCTCGGCTAATCGTGGAATGAAAAGATCAGGTGACCCGCTCCAACCGCTCGTTTGTACAACGTCCTTTGGCAGTAGACCTCGGCGATTTTGAGGCTACGATAATTGCAATTCACACGGCGGTAAATCTTAGCAGATTGCAGCTACTCTGCCGGCATGCGAGAATGCTTCTTTCTTCAATAGGACTCAAAAAAACACCGGCTTGACAAGGCAAACTATCATAATCTGGACGTAGTGGGGTTGTCTTCTAGTGCAAGGTAATGGTTTACGAATGGTATATGAGTCTCATCCGGACAGCTGCTGTCAGGCGTTTTCTTAAATACTCCAGAGAGGTCGACCCGCGTGCTTTGCATTGCTAAATTTACAAGGACCGCTTCCCAATCGGCAGATATCGCCTGACAGCAACCTCAAGCTGCCACTCCGCGCCCCTCTGCGTCTAGTTCCTCCCGTCAACGCCCCTGATTTCGAATCCTATCGTTCTGCGGCGACTCAACACCCGGTGTTGCCTCTCTGCAGCTCGCCCTCCTTGGCGTCCAGTGCACAACGCCCGCGGTTGAGGACAGGCCTGATCGAATTATGCATCTTCTGCCTCAACTAAGGACCATCCACGAACTGGCCCAAGACATGGCGGCCCCGCAGGAGATTGCTCCCGTCCTCTGCTCCTACAAACCCCCTGCTCCGTTGGAGGAACAGAACCAGAACCTCGCGGATCGCCAGGGATCGGCGGGTCACATGGTCCCATGGGACGCGACTACCCAGGAGCTTTTACCACTGCGGAGTCTGCACAATACGGAGACGACGCCTGGCGCGAGCGAGTCGACTGAAGAGGACGTCCCGGCCAACTACCGGTGTCCGATCACGGGAGGCGTTATGGTGGACCCAGTGTTCCTCTTCAGCAGCCGCCAGTCCTACGAGAGGGCCGCGGTTCAGCAGTGGCTAAGGTAAGGCGAGCAGTACTCTCTCCGGCGGCGTTGTTGGATTACAAAAGCATCTCGCAGCTGTCAGCTTCAGCTGTGATCGGTTTTGGCTTCAGTTTTGCGTAATGGGACAGCCGACAGCTGCATTTCGTGTCAAAAAAAAATCTCCTCTCGTAGTTCCTAGGTGGTTCAAACATTCTCCAATCTGTTGGACTGATTTCCTGTTGCACGAAGCTCAGCTCAACTTTGGATAAGCTTTGCAAAGCCAATGCCTTTTTGGTTGTCCCCATTCTTCGGCCATTCCTAGGTACTCTTTGGCTGCCAATGGCTTAGCTCCTTTGTCTCGTCTTTTGTGTTCCATTGATATTGCGAAAGAAGAGGTTTCACTCATGTAAGGTAGCTGGACTTTCTGGACCCCCGTCTCAAGAAGGCTGCTAGGGCTGGAGTACTGCGACTGCTAGTCAGTTTGTGGCAAGGCCTTATGCGGCTCTCTTGTGGTTCTTTAGTGGGTTCAGATGCGTCCGACTTCTCGACTGCACAGTTGACTGTCGGAGTTATCAGTCAACTTGGGTCCTACATAGGTCCGCACATCAAGCTTCTGTAGTTCGTGAAACCTTGATGAAGGTCCGGAAGAAGGACGGAAAGAGGAAGCCAGCAAAAGGTCCTTCCTGTCCACACCTCCAAAGATGGTGCTCGGCACAATGATCTGGAACTAGAGCTCTAGGGTCTTTTTCATCTCCAAGTGCAATCAGAATTTAGAGCTAAAAACTGTTTCTCACGGGCAACAAGGCGAAATCTTTCAGTAACCACTGCAAATGCGCATAACCGATGAGGGACTTGAATCCTGCTATTCTGGCTACTTGAAGGCGTGCCAAGGAAGAAAAACATCTGAAATCGCAGCTCTGTTAGGTGTGCACAATATCAGGCGCCCGTGGGATAGCCACTGCTCATGAGATGCCAGTTTTGCTTAAGCCTGGATCCTCTTCTTTTTCAGCGGTAGCGGTCCCGGGACCATCCAACACCCGGGGAGAATCGAGCTCACCCCCAACTATGATCTTAGGAGGGAGATTCGCAGCTGGGCCAGCAGGGTGCGATACCCGCTGCCGACCGAAACCCCCAACTACTCTGACAACGCCCATTCCCTCGTTTCCCTGGCCCCCCGCCTCCAAACCGGGACGACTCTTGACAAGCTCAAAGCCGGAGCCAGGGACGGAGACCCAAGAGCCCAGTTCCAGCTCGGCATCTGCTTCAGCGTCCCCTGCTTGGGGGTTTCTTTCGACGAGGCAACGGCGGCCGATTATTTCGAGATGGCGGGTGAGGGCCCGGGGGGACTGCCCGAGGCGTGGGCTGCACTCTCCGATTGCTACTTTTACGGAAAGGGGGTACCCCAGGACAAGGAGCGGGGCGTTGAGTATGCCAGCCGGGTGATTCATCTGGCGGAGCCCATAGCGAAGCTCGTGTTGGCGACTGCGTGCCGGGAGGGGTCGGGGGGCGTGAAGCGTAACCCGGCCTTGGCGGAGTGGCTCATAACAGCGGCCGAGACGGAGCTTCTCCGGTGGGCCACACAGGCAAATGACCCTTTGTTTGAGACGGCCTTGGGGGTGAAGTACTGGAACGAGGATGAGGCGAAAGCGGTGTATTGGTTGGGCCAGGCTGCCGCGCAAGGGGCCGCCCTCGCCAACGCTCTCCTGGGGCGGTACTATCTCAAGCAGCGGGATACGCCGCAGAGCTTGTTGACGCACAAAGCGGTGCCCCTGAAGAAAGTGTTCGGATACTACAAGGAAGCCGCCGGCAAGGGGTACGCCCCCGCGCAACATGTTGTTGGCGAGTGCTACCTGTCGGGGACAGGAGTACGGAAGGACCGGGGCAAGGCTTCCAAGTGGTTCCTACGGGCGGCTGGATCGGGCTACGCGCCCGCACAACTTGCTCGGGGCAAGTGCCTGCCCCCTGCAAAGGCTCTATGGTGGTTCGAGAGGGCGGCCGAGCAGGGTCTTGCGGAGGCGCACTACCAGCTGAGTCTGCTCTACAGGAAGGGGGCGAAGCGGACTTCGCTTCACAGGAGGGAGGACCTGAGCAAGGCCCACGAGTTTCTCAGCAAGGCTGCTGCTTTGGGGCACGGGCAAGCCTTGGCAGACATGGAGGCGCAAGCTGGTCGGTTGGGCGCCGTTCGAGTTGGGAACAAGGAGAGACTGAAGAGGTGGGCGGAAGGCTTCGGCGCTGGCAAAATCTGGCGCAAGACTTCGGAAGTTTAGAGGCAACCGCAAGGAGTTTGTAGGTTTTGTAGATAGACAAGAATGGCAGGGCATGCATTCCGGTGGTGCATTGATCCAACCCTAGGCGCTTCTCAGTGATTTGCCTCGGCTCTTGATAGCTATCAACATGGTAGCTGACGTATTAGGCTCTCCTATTGTGGTTGTCTCAATGTAAAATAGTTGATACGGAACTGTACATGATATTGGACCGTTGCACGGCGGGGCCTGTGCACTAGGAGCGTTGCGCAAAGCTTGATTGGATTGTTTAAAAGTTGACCGTCTTATAAGGAGGCCGGCGTCCCGGCATCATTGGTTGAATTAAGTTTATCGTCTGACAGTGAATTGATTCAATCAAACAAGCTGAATGTAAGTTTCGTGCGGCAACTTGGCAATTGAACACGGCCACCGCCCGCCGCGCTGCCCCAAAGGATACACTGACACACGATCATGCATTTTTTTGCACCAGTGACCGAGCTAGTCAATCAGCCATCATATTCATGATTGTCCATGGCCCAGTGGGGGGGCCGCCGATTGACGCTGGCATGATGCGCATGGATTGGATAAGCTGAGCGCTAAGTTTCATCTTTCGTTGGTTAGTAACTACATGAGAACCTCCCAACCCATGGTCACTAGTGACCATGGAATATATATCAACCACCATGAGTCATGGCATGGTTGGATAGCATGCACATGTATGTGCATCATGCATATGAACGATATCATATACAAAATATATCATATACGTATACCTGTCAAATTTCAAATTGAGTAAGGGCACACGCCGGCATTACAACTTCCATTACATCGTTCAACTTACCGATCATTCAGTCGAATCCTGTGTTGATCGCACCGTTCGGGCCCATGGCCCGTCCGGGCGCAAGCTACGGTCCTTATAATAGAAGTATGAATGAATGAATGAAAAGTTATTGTTTACAGTTGTTACGTCACAATCAGCAGGCTCGTCAGGCTCGTACGGTAATGATGCGGGCAGAGAAAGAGCCCCACGGGGTTTATAAGGTGAGGTTTGGAAAACGGAAGCGGAGCTGTGGAAGCTTAAGGGGAGGTTTTGAAAGCTAGCAAGGAGTTGGGTTCCGTCAAGAAAGAGTGCCGGTCTGCCGGCGGGCGGTTCGAGAGCGGAACGTGACGGCGAGAAAAACGGAACGTCTGCGCAAGCGAGTACACTCTGCTAAGCCTGAAGGAACAGGTAGAGAGCGCGCAAACAGAGGTCGAGAATGAACGGGAGAGGGCCCGCGAATTCCGGAAGGAGGCCCTGGCAGCCGCGGAGGAGGCGGAGAAACCTTGAGAGAAACTGCGGTCGCTGGAAGAGCTGGTTGAAGAGGCGACCCAGAGGGTTGATCGGCTGGAGAGTGACCGGAAGGTTTTGTTGAAGCGCTTGCGAGGAACGGAGAGCGCGTTACGGCAGGGCGAGGAGGAAGTTCTAAGGGTGCGGCAGAGCTTGGGTGAGGCCGAGGGGAAGCTTAGAGGGTTAAGGAACGACTAGCGGGGTTTGTGGGACCGCGTGGAAGAAGGGAGACGGGAAGCGGATCAATCAGAGCGGCGAGTTGCTGAGGTAAGCGCCGACTGTGCCGCCAGGAGCGGAACTACCTACTACTGTGCGTGGCGTCAAAACTCGAAGTGGCTGAAATCTCTGTTCGTTACTTTCTGCTTGTGCATCTGGCTCGAGATGTGGCTATCCCATGCAGACAAAGTCCCTTCAGAGCCAAGATTTGAGATGTAGTAGGCAAAGCTGACCATGGTGTATCCCATGTCGAATGAAGTGGACACGTCGTTGCTCAACTGCGTGTTCTTGCCTGATTCTCGTTATGGGACAACAGAATTGAGATCAATTGCATCACGTTTCGCTCATTGGGCTCGATCGATTCTGTTTTCTTGTGGAAGTCCTCCAGGCTCTTATCATCACCAATTCTTGGGCGTTAACTTACACGCCAGCAACTATGGTTGTGGACAATATTGGGCACCTTGGGCACCTCCGATCGTCCCAAGGCCCGAGCATTACTCTCCAAAGCACCGTTGCCTCTTTGCTGTACAACGCTGCACTCTTTTAAATGCATACGCGTGATCAGCGGTGATCGAGTGGTTGATAGTGCTTTTGCTTAATCAAGTTCTAACCTTTTTCAACTGGCCCCATTTTCAGCTCCGAGGCGAACATGAGGTAGCAGAGCGCCAGCTGGCCGGGCACGTGCCCAGCTGCGGAAGGCAGCCGCGGAGAGGGAGACGCCGGAATCCGGTCGAAATGGAGCGGGGTGGGGCCGGAACGGTGCAGCGGAAGAGGAGGCTGGGGCGGCGCTCGATGAGAAGCTGGCATCACTGCAAGGAGAGCTTATGGACGTGAAGGTACGCTATCCGCTTCATGTTTCCACCTTCACCCTTCTTACTTTTATCCTTTCTATTTTCGTATACAAAAAGCTACGCCTCTTCGTCGGAGACGCCTCTTTCACCGATCTGCTCGAACACAGGTCGCTTCTAGTTCATCGTCTTTTCTGTCTCCCTGTAAAGCGTCACCTACCCTTTTCTAGCAAAGAATCTGGTTTTATTCGGGAATCGCGTACTTGAAGACTGATAGACGACTTCTGAGAAGACGCAGGGTGCTTTCACTCCGTTTAAGGGAGGGATGCTAGAGTTGCTGCCGTCAGCGTTCCAGGCGATGCTTCGTGTCACGGTCAATTCCCCGAGGTCTAGTAGAAACCGTGTTTGAGTCGCTTGCTGGTCAATCTTATCAGCGCACAAATGCTGGGAAATCTGCAACGCGAAACTCGCGACAAGCAGGTAGTTATTCGGCCATTTAAGAGGAATTTTCGCAAAACGCAGTACTTTCTGAAGGAAGCAAATATTACCCTGAAATTATCACCTCCTGCAATCTGGTACGGAAAATTTATACTGACGCTCACCTTGGCTTGCCTCGTCTTTGCCTGCTCAAATGTCTGATCTTCTGCTCTCGTGGCAACCATCTTGCAGGTCTACCTGCTGGCGAGTCGCCGCGAGTGCCAGAGCCAGGAGGAGCGCGCCCTCCGGGCCTCCCAAGATGCTGAAGTGGCACGCGATGAGCTGGCACTGCTCAAGGAGACGGCATTAAATGCGCGACGGGAAGCGGAAGAGGCGCAGGCGCAAGCGAAGGCCGCGGGCGGTGCGTTGGAAGCGGTTAAAAGGCGGTTAGAGCAGATGCTTTCTCTTAACCCACGTGGGCGGAAGGTGGATGGGGTGACGCAAGAGGGATCCCTTGCTGACGATCTGGAAGGCGCGTTGGAAGCGATGGGAGGGGGGGGAGGGAGTGAAGAGATGGCGAAAGTGGCGGAGGGAATCCGAGGGTTCGAGGAGCGGGTTTTGCGGAAGGAGGAACGGGTAAAGGTTCTGGAGGCGAAGGTGAAGTTTGCGAAGGAGGCTGCGGCAGCCGAAGAGGGAAATCTAAAGATCCTGAGAGAGGAGGCGCGGTCAATGGCGGAGGGGGTCGGGAAGAGACGCGGGCAGAAAGTGGAGTTGGAGGCGCAGTGCGAAGAGTTGACTGGTCGTGTTAAGGCGCTAAGCGACCGGTCAGCTGACGAGAGTGCTGAGCTGGAGCGGGTTAAGGACGAGGTAAAGGCCGCCGGGGAAGAAAGTGCGCGGGTTAGGGGGCGAGTTAGCGCGGCCGAGGCGAAGTTGCGGTTAGTTAAGGAGGAAACCGAGCAAGCGAAGGGGGTTTACAGGCGGGTTAAGGAGGAGGTTAGGGACGCGAAGCAGGAGTTAACCAAGACGAGGGGTGAATTGGCGGAACTAGAGCGGAGGTGGCTGGGGTTGAAGCTCGAAGTGACGGGTGCAAAGAGCAGGTGTGAATGGGCTCGCAATCAGGAGCAGTTTGGATGATTTCACAAGGGCTGAGACGGTGGAGTCGAGGGACGGTGTGAATGAGCTCGATGGGTTTGACGTAGTGAGCAGCAGGGGCGGTGTTAATACACTCGATCGTTTGGAGTCCTCGTTGCCAGACCCGCGAGGGTCTCCTTCTTAGAACGGTGGCAAGGGGATGGAAGACGTATCTAGACGGGCGAGAACGTCCGTGGTTCAGGCACGGGTTTCCGCGGACGTGCATCGGACGGAGGAGCGTGTTCGGACGCCCAAGGAGAGTGCCACTCCGCTCGACGTTCCGAGTCGGAGCTGGGTTCCCCTCTACAGAAACGACGGTTCAACATTTCGGACAGCGCCGGACGAACAATTGTCAGGAAAGACAAGCGCAGGGCGTTCGGACGGCTTGACGCGGACGGTTGAAATGGACGGGGCCGGAAGGGCGACCACGGAAGGGGCGGAGGCACAGCTGCGGGTCGCTCAGAACGGCATCGGGGAGTTGCTGTCGCAGATGCACTCGCTGCAGGAGCGCGTAGCGCGGGCGTCCGAGTCGGACGCGTCACGTGACGTCAGCGGGCGTGACGTCAGCCGGGGGGATCCCCTCGAGAGGCTTGCGGAGACGTCGCTGGCGGCGTGCCTCGAGGGGTTTTTTTTTTTTTTTTTTTT